TCTCGTTAATTTGATCTTGATTATGTCGTCGGTACAAAGCCAAAGTGGCGTATCTGCAAATTTGGCTACTTAGGGGTTTTGTTGCATGTTTACATGATTTTACATTTTCTTCGCAATGCCAGAACGACGTAATTGAATTTAGTTACAAAAATGATTTTAAACCTCAATTCTCATTTGGCGTATAGCAAAACGAATGGTGATTTTCAAAACCAAAATGACACATATACATACGCCATTTTAGTCTAGTGATAACTCAAGGTTCCTTCCAAAACCAAAGTGGCGTATGTATCGATGCATGATTGTGTCATTGTAACTGACACGGCAACCTTGTGCCACAATATAATCTTGTTAAATTGTTGTGCTACTACCTGCATGTTGTGCTTCAAAAAAGCACAACTCCTCTATTCTCGTTCCTGAAGAAGTCAGACAACAGATTTACAAGGAATATAGATCTCTCGAGAATATAGACCGTGAGAGGCAATTTTTAAGTAAACTGATTGAGCAGCAGCCAACGAAAAGGACTACTGTTGTGAACTTCAAAAGGCAGTTAACAAACATATATTACTTTTTGGTAGGTGGTGAAAAAAGACTAGTTTGTAGAGACTTTTTTCTTAAAACATTAAACGCTACTAAGAGATCTGTTAGAACAGCATTAAAAAAGAGTTAGAATAATGTATTTGAAGAATCTAAAAAAAGAGGCAAACATACTCGTGGTAATAAGATTTCGTCAACGGAAAAAATGATCAGATGGCATATAAATTCATTTTCTGCCATGGAGTCACACTACTGTAGAAAAAGTAGCTCCAAAAAATATTTGATTCGTCCTTAAACATTTCTATAATGTACAGAATGTTTGTAGAAAAAAATCCAAATATTCCTGTCAGTTTGGAAAAATACAGACAGGTTTTTATTGATTATAATCTTGGATTTTTCGTTACAAAAAAGGACCAGTGCAGGAAGTGCTTAAATTTTCATAGTGCGAGTGAAAGTACTGCAGAGATGTAGGAGGAATTATGACTGCACCTCCAAAAACGAGATGATGCTCGAGGTGAATGGGATAAGGATAAAAAAATGGGTCAATCTGAAGAAAGAACTCTCTCTTTTAATTTTGATCTACAGGCAGTACTGAATACGCCAAAAGGACCAGCAGGTCAGATTTTTTATCTTCGAAAGTTTGCAGTTTATAATTTAACAGTTTATAATCTTGGTAACCAAGAAGTTATGTGTTTTTTATGGGACGAGAGTAATCGACGAAGAGGAGCCAATGAAATCGCAACCTGCATTAGGAAATATATTTTACATCAAGAAAATATTACTTCTGTTAATATGATGTCGGATAGTTGCAGAGGGCAACAAAAAAACTACATTTTTTCCACAATGATTATAAATTTATTGAGCGAAAGTAATGAACTAACAATGATAAACCATAAATTTTTTGAAACTGGGAATACTGAAATGGAGTGTGACAGTATTCACTCAAAAATAGAGAAAAACTCTAAACACATTCCTGTGTAAACTCCGGAAGGATGGGCCCAAGTAATTCGAAGTGTGAGGAATAAACCCAGTCCTTTTCAGGTAATAAGAAATGAGGTTTGATGAGTTTTTGGACTTTAAGTCATTATACAAGGCAAAATTACGAGGCTTGCCCTGGAGAAAAATATGCCACGTGAGGTACTCTCAAATCTGAGGAAGGAGTAAAAGTGTCATACAAAACTGATTTCCGTTTGGACTTCACTGAGGGATTTATCGTCAAACCATCACGACAATACATTAAAAATATTGCCAAAGCATTTGACGGAAACCTTCCAATATCAGTAGCTAAACAAAAAGATTTGTTGAGCATGTGTGCGTCTAGAACAATTCCAAAGATTTACGAAAATTTTTACAACTCATTAAACGTTGCTGCTAATGAGAGAGACTGTCTGCCAGAACAAGATGCCACTGAAGACACTGATCATGAAGATTAAATGCATATTTTATTTTACTTATTAATTTGTGAAAATATTATCCTAAATAAACATATTTATCCTAATATAAACATATTTTTATAAAGTATTAATTGTTATTTTGATCCCTAAATACTTGACCTAAGTCCTTGACAAAAATTACATTACAAAGCCAAACTGACGTATCTAACACAACGTCCAGTTTTTTTTTAATTTCAAAATGTTTGTCTTTTTTGGTTAAGTTTTTGATTTATAAAATTTAATGATAATAATAGTGCCTGTGTAATAGTGCCAAATTAATAGAATACGCCCAACTAAGATAAGAAAAAAGCAAGCTTAAAAGTTGTAACAAAATTCAAATCCAATTTTCTCAAAACGTCAAATTTTCAGATACGCCACTTTGGCTGTGTACCGACGATGTGAAGGATCAGATTCGAACTTATCCGCTAAGACCTCTCGGAATTGCTTTTCATTTGTTCTTAGTTTAAAGGCATCTATCCTCGTTGCTGTTTTTTAATCCTTTCTCTTCTTTCATGTTAATATTTATTTTTGCTTTGACTATACGATGATTACTGCACGTTGTTACGTTGTTTATTGTTGTGACGTCTTCAAATATTCCTTTGTTGTTTGAGAGAAAATAGTCTATTTCATTTTTGATAGTTCCATTAGGTGCGACCCATGTCCACTATCTGTTACGTTTCCTTTTGTAGAAGGTATTCATGACATACATGTTTTCTTGTTCCAGGAATTCCATGAGATTTCTCCTCTTGTGTTTCTTGTGCCGAATCCAAAGTTTCCAATCTTGCTTTCAGAGTCTTCAATCTTACTTCCAATTTTGGTGTTAAAGTCTCCCATTATTATTATTTTGGATTCTTTGTTGTTGTCTATAGCTTTTTTAACGTATTTGTAAAAAGAATTTACAAATACGTATAAAAAGTTATAATATCAAATATAAAACTGTGTTAAATCTGAATTATTCAGCACAACAGCACTTGGTCACGGAAAAAGTATCAGTTCCAGAAAACAAACTGTCGTGCAGTTAATTGTTACATTTTTTTAAGTACAGATAGCGAATTATTTTTCAATTTGAGTAAAGCTTAATTGGTTTTTAAAAGTGTTTTTAACCTTATTAGTATGGCTTGTTACCAGTATTTTAATGAATTTAAAAACTGGTAATTGTTCTACTTAATTTTATCGTTGTTAGTATCTACATATTAAAATTTTACCATTACATTTTTCAATAGTTTTGTACTTTATGTTTATGTTATTACAAAATAATTCTAGAATTTATTTTTTTTGAATTAGACAAGGTGAAAAGCTCGGGTTCGTTTGAAAACGTATTCCCATGAGATTTTTTTGCATAATTACTTTCACGAGATACGCCAAAATAAGATCCAAAAGATCGCCCAGGCGAAAAGTTGTTCAATATTATTTAAACAATTTTTTTAGACAAATTTTAATAATCAATTTTTTCTGTCAGTGTATTTTTTTATTTTTTAGATCATTATGAACAAAACAGATCTCTTGTATATTTTTTCTGTAAACTTGATCGATTTCGAGTTATAAACAATTAATTAAGGGTTTAGGGGGGGAATAGTGGCCACCTAAGCATTTTGGTTTATTTATACTGCTATATAGCTTTAAAAATTATACTGTTAACGTAAATAAAACTTCAAACCTTAGTACTCCAAACTCTATTTACGAAAAATTTTTACACAGAACAAAAAAAAATTAACAGGTTTTTCAGACTTCTGCTGGTGGCCATATTTACCCGCTGCCGAGGGGTAAAAGTGACCACTGCCACTATTACCCCATTTAAAAAAAATAATTAAATGCAGAAATCGCAAATGTAAATTTTGCCTTCGAAACTGGTACTGTCTTTTTGTGCCCATTGGTCGCAAATGCTGCATTGGATCCAGGGTTCTCTGTTTTTACTGAATTCGCCACAAATTGTGCAAATTATATGGAAATATTCCTGTATTCTCAAAACCTTTAATGGCTTTGACTGGTGTGGCTACCACACCAGTCAAAGCCATCGTTCCCCAGCCCCAAAGCCCATTTTAAATCTTTCAGCTACCTATTTCAAATGTCGTGATACGCTCATGAGGATGACGTCGAAGATAAACGAAAAAATTACGATTTTCAAGGCTCAAAAACACCAGAAAAAATATTATTTTTGAATTTACCAACGACCTAAATTCAAGTTCAAACTTTGTTCTGTCATTTCCCGATAAGTATTTTGGGCTTATTTAATTTTAAAACATTGGTTTTTAGCCGTGATTGAAGTGCTTATGACATGACGAGCGCTCGGGATGCGGTGTGTACAAGAGAGAGAAACAAGATCCATTGCACAATTTTTTGCGAATTTGAATTCTTATTGTATTAGTGAGCGACCGTCCTGCCATAAGCGCTTCATTAATAATTAAAAAACAACGTTTTTAATAAGCCCAGAATTTTCATCGGGAGCTGATAGAAGAACCATTTTGAATTTTTTAAGTTATAAATTATTTGAACTCGAAAACAATCAACTTTAGAAAAAACTTACGAAAGACATTTTTATTTCATAATGATCAAAAAAATATAAAAGAGAATATCTGAGCCGAAAAAATTTGTTATAATTTGTTGAAAAAAAAAAAAATTGGTTAAACAAATTTTAACAACTTTTCGCCTGGGCTACCTATTCAACCTTATTTAGAGTATCTCAAGACAGTGATGCTTCCATCTTCTTCCAGCTCCATCTTCTAATGAACAAACCAAATATTTTTATTTCTTTATAGGAACCTTGTGTGAGTGTAAACTTAAACCTATTATTGGGATAAATTGGTTACCTATACGTTGGCGCTTTAAGTATATTTGTTTCTTAAATCAAACACCTTTTTAAAAATAAATTTTTGGACGAAATATTTTTTTATTGAGTTTAATGTAATATTGATAACATTCTTGAAAATCATTTTTTCCAAAATTGCTTTAACTTTACTTTTTGGTTTTTGGCACCTGGTTTTTGATGACATAATCAGAAAATTGAAATGACAGCATAATGACAGTGACAGAACAGTTAAATTAAAAAGAGGTTATATTATGTTAGATTTGGATAGTTACTGTCATAATAATAACTTTGATGAATAATAATTATTCTAAAGATAATATATAAATTAATAAAACATGACGAGTCGTGTAAAATCAGGTACAACTAGAATAGAAGTTGAAATAGAAAAGAGTAGAGAAGAATCAAATTGGTTGAAGGTTATAGAACTAGCAGAACAGTTAAAGGAGAAGTCTCCAGAATTTGGTAAAACCTGTTAATTCTGTATTAAAGTACCTATTTTTAACATTCATATTTTATTGCAGTTTGTTTAGCTGATTTTTTAATTGGAGAAGGTAAATTAGAAAACTTTTTGGAAGAATGGCCACCCACGGAAGCAAATGTAAATAGAGCAAAACTTGGGTTAATAGAAGCAAAACGTTATCTCCATCTAGTTGTTACTGAAGCAGGAATTAAGGTATATGTTATTAAGTTTTTTAGAATTTAGTGGGTTGCAGTTTAAAGTACAATGTGCTAGAAACTATTCAAGGCTATTTACTATGTATTTATTGTGAAAAATATGTAATTAAGTATCTGAATTGGAATTGTAAATAGTGGAATCTATCTTTTATTGCTGGATTTAATAATGCTAATTTTATGATTTGAAAATATCCCTTATTAAAAGTGTACATTTATGCAAACTAACAGAATTATTCAATTTTACCTATTATCAATATAAAATAAGAAACAGTACTTACAAACATAGTAAAATAATAATTTTGTGTGGTGTATGTATTGAATAAATTCCTTGTTAAGTCTTTACAACGAGTCACCTATTAAATCTTAATAACTGTGGCATCTCAGGCAAGTACCAATCCAATGGACCAAAGAGAGGTTCTCTTTTTTTTTAATAGAATAATTCTCATGTTTGGTGGATTAGGTTAGATTCAATATAAGTGGGCACATAATCACCCTTCCACTTGATCTAAGAGGTCTATTGTGGCTCATCCCTAGGTTAAAATTGTCCTTTTAACCCAGTCTTTTTACCAAAGTCTATTATAGTCTATTTTGATATTGGATATTAGGTTGATTGGATTGGAACTTATAACTCATTGAATTTTGTCAAAATTAGTAAATTTTTTTTGTTTGATTTAAGTATATTTACAATTTATATTTGTTATTTTTTTTCATTTTGGCTCATGAGTAGATACAATTTTTGTAAAAATTTTAACATTTTAGTACTTACAAAGGCTAAATTTATTTTGTAATATTGAATATACTATTGATTAATATATTTTTTTAGGCTGGAGTGGCTATGGATGCACATTTGCTTCTTGGAAAATTGCAGTTTGCTTGTGGTCAGTATGCTGATGGTTTAAAACACTTTAAATTAGCTGATCTGCAAAATCTAACAGAAAAGAAATTACCACTGTAAGTAAAAAAAACCTGGAATCTTATTATTATTCTACTAGGGTTTTAAAGAGTTAGTTTTCTATTGGTTGTATTGGTAATATAAATTGTTCTATTTTCATGTCATTGTCATAGTCATTAACTACTGCCTCTGCAATATCATTTTCGGAAGATGTTTCATCAAAAACCTTATTTTTTGCATTGTGAGCAACCTTCTTCCCTGCTTGTTTTTCCTTTCCTTTCTGAATTCTCTCCTCCTCACTTTTCTTTTTCTCATCCATAAAAGGTGAACTAGTAAGAATTGTGGATTTAAGTTTAGGCCGGCCCTTTCTGATATTTTTTCTCTGCTCTGCCTTTGGGTAAGGTTTAACTTGCTGTGGCGAAAGAAATTCATCTGTTTGATTTACACCATGATTACTAGTGAAAGGTTCTGGCTCTGAATAATTTTGTGGCTTTTCATTATTGTCATCGGTCTGTATGTTAGCTTCTAATGGTCTATCTGTAACATAAGAGCTTAGAAAGTCCTCCTCTTTGAAAATTTCGGAATCTACAGGTGATATTCCAGTTTTTCTAAATGATGACAAAATATTAGTAGGTGTAAAAGCTTTTGGTATTATTTTACCCACAATACCGGCAACATTATAAATAGTAACAGGAATACCTGGATGGTTAATCATCCAATTACCAGCCTCTTTGTTATAAAAAGTCTTGAATGGATCTAGACATCCTACGTCAAGAGGCTGAAGTTTATGGCTGCAGTGAGGTGGTATTGTTAGTAAAACTATACCATTGTCTTTGGAGTATTTCATAATTTTATAATCACAGTGAGCTTCGTGATTGTCCATGATTAGTAATATATTTTTTTCTTTACTACATCTTGTAACATCTACTAAATGTTTAAGAAAATTAAGAACCTTATCGGTCGTCATCCAACCAGTTTTGAATACGGCCCCTTGAGATCCAACAGGTGCTCCATTTAACATATGGGATTTAAAATTTTGACGAGGAAATATAAAATAAGGAGGACAGTAATTTCCTTTGGCACAAATCGCTATACACATTGTTACTAACGTACCTCGTTCTGCACTTGTTACTTTTTCCACTTGTTTCAGTCCTTTGGGTGCTATAATTTTTGGTGGTCTGTGCACCGTCGTGATTCCGGTTTCATCGCAGTTGAATATATCGTTTGTTGAAAATTGATATTTTAACATAACACATTTTAAATTATCGAAAAATGCTGATATGTTATGAGCATTAAAACTAGTAGCTCTACTTAGGCTCGTTGCCTCAGGTGTTCTTAATGTCAAGTGGCTGTGAATTCTAAATAGCCGCATCCAATCAATACCAGCAGATTTATTTGGCTACCATGAGATTGGAATTATTTTATTGTTTGCCACTGCATATTGGTACGCAAACTCACAAGTGGCTTTTACAGTTAGTCCATGACAAAGCCTACACGCTTTTATTAAATAATCAGCCAGAAGTTTTTCTTCTTCATCTGAGAATATCTGCGTAAAGCCATGATTCCAATTAAAATTAAAAGATTTTTTTTTCATCTTCACTACATCTCTTAAATTTTAAAACCATTCTTTCCAAAGAAGAATTGATTGATTATCTAAATATCTTTTTCGTAAATACTAAATATACAAAGGAACATCAATTTATGTTATGGTAGATAGTGGGACACATCCCGGTATATACCACATACTAGTGTCCCACTAAGTACCATTACATTAAATTTATAAACATTACTATCAGTTTGCATAAATCGTTTTTAGGAAAAATATACCAATACACATACCTTTGACACTCTTTCCAGCACCTAACTGTGAAATTTCAGAAACTTTAATAGTCTTGTTACGGAATAATAAGGCATACAAAGGACATAAAAAAGTTACTTTTTGTCTATGGAAACTTAACCGCAGCCATTACAGTCATGTACTAAGTCGGTAAATAGCAACCTGCAAGTCAAAAGAACTCTTTTCAGTCAAATTTAAATGTGGCGACTGCCCAAAAACTTACATTTGTCACACTGGTAGAAACTTTAACAAACGAATAGCAGAACATAAAAGGGCTTTCAATAATAGAAAAACAGATTATACATACGCACTTCACCTTCTAGATCACAATCAGTCTTTTAACAACGAATTTAAAATTCTTCACATTCAAAATAAAGGCCTTAAGCTATCCTTGTTAGAATCTATGGAAATCAACAAATTAAAAAACACATATAATTCTGAATGACCAACTCGAGACAAACAGTTCTCCCCTCCTCAACCTATTTCATTAGAGACTATAAAGTGTAAACACATGAAAAAAATATATCACTTGAGAAAGGCAATCAGCCGAAACAGCTGTAGTGATAAGAATTAAAATAAATTTTTGTGGAAGTTTGAAAACAATGTTCTCAGTGTTTTATTGTTACATAAAATGAATTTCCATCAAGTTACAGTCGAATCTATCAATTAAATTGGTTTTTATCATTTTTCGAGGCGATCAGTTTTTTCTCATATTCTCGTAGACACATTCAGAATTTCATATTTATCCTTTTTGTGATTATTTAATTGTTTTACTTGTGTAGATTTGAATAGTGGGGAAGTATTTGCCATACCTGGACGTAACTGTTTGATTATTGAACTGGAAGGTGATAGGGTCTAAAGATCCTGTTTTTTTATCATTGGACTGATAACTCACATGAATTAAAGAATCTTCCTCAGCTTTGGGAGCTTGAAAAGTTAGGAGGGCCTGCTTTTGGTTTGGTTGGAAGTTTGATTCTCAGGTTGGAAAATCTGCAAATCTAAAGGTGGCATATAACATCATAAAGGTTTCTCATCATAGCCTTGGCATCTGGAAATGGAAATTTTTTACCTCTAATCAGCGATTCATAGTGCATATTGGGGGTCTACACTGTTCAGTAAAAGCTGTAATTGGTCGGTTAAAGCTTTTTTTCCATAACTTTGCCCTCTTTTGATGTCTCGTTGCTTGTTCTATTGGCTTGAGCAATACGAGCTTCGTCGATATTTTCCGACCAACTCGTTGCTATTTCTCCAATTTTTATTTTTATCCAATTTTGCCAAGGAATTTATTAATTCAGAATTGTTTTCTGCAGTAAACTGATTACCTCTAAATTTTCTTTACATATTACTCTTACTTCGAACGTCTTTTAAATGATCACTAGATCCAGGCCTCTTTTCTGATTTGCAAAACAATAATAGTTTTCAAAAAATTTCAATAATATAATACGAGGTTTAGAAACCAAGTGTCGAGTTATAGGTGTACAGGTGAAGAGGGGTACGTGGTGTTGTTTACAAACGAGTTATAAATACAGGTGTAACTTCGTTTCTATTTAGAATTTCTTAATAAAATTTTAGGACAGTATTTATATGATACTAAGGAATGCTTTTACGTAAAAAAAATAAAACTCGATTTTTTAAAAATGTATAAAGTAAAAGTCTTCTTATACCCTATAGATGTTTCTCCTTTTTGTGCTTCACATCGGAATGTATTTGCTGGAATCTGATATGCCTTTTCTGTCTATATGCCAACTCGAACCTCTCAATTGCATCTTTCATATCGTTCATTAATCTACAAGCTATTTTTACAAAGACTGACGTGATACCTTCCTTATACATCATTTTATAATTCATTTACCATAATGTCTATTGGAGTTCTGTTAATCCTTGGAGATATGTTTATTCTGTATTTATTGTGTCTTATATATTAGCTTAAAGATTGCCCATTAAGTTTCTACATTTTTTAGACGTAGCTTAAGAATAGTGGCTGAATCATATGCGGTAAAGGCATTATGCCTCCAGAAAGATGATACTGCTGCTAGTAAATTTAAAAAGGCTGAAAAACAAGAAGAGATGATTAAATGCTTGGACTTAGCCACCGACTTAAGTTTACTTTATATGCAAAAATTGGAAAAAGAACTAAATTCCACAGTTCCTAGTTCAAATACCGGTAAGTAAATATTTTGTATTTTTTTTTAACAAACTCATTCTTTTATTTTTTATTTATAATATATCAAAAAAGAAAAACATGTAAACATATTATAAACTACAAACTGTTGAATATAAAATTTAGAGTATTAGCAAACCAGTCCAAAGATCTTTAATCTGGTTCCTGGTTAATTTTTACAAGGAAACCGGAATTGACATCAAATTGCAAACTGTTCTTCCAAGAATAATCTAATTAGAAACCTCGGAAATATTACAAGACTTATAAATTAGAATAATAGAGCGTTTTTAGTGCAAAAAGTTAATACTGCTTCTTGAGAATAACGTCGATAGAGCACTCTAGGAAATTGATGCTGCCCCTAAAGAAGAACAATTAATTCTATTGAAACAGAAATATAACGAAAATATCTTTGTTTAATTTAAATATGAGTTACTCGAAAATTTTTTAAATACCGCTATTTTTAGAATAAATGGCCTTGAGATAGCAATATCCGATTTCAATTCCAAAAATTTTAATTCTTCATATCGTATCACTCCTATTATAACTATTAATTTGTCTCTTCTACTTAAATTAGGTAGCTTAGAGGTTTCGGTGGTAGGTTGTATTTTGTGTAGTTTCGAGGTTGAATTCTTCCATTTGTTTTGCCAGGACTTTTTGATTTGGGATCTGAAAAGGGGTTTTAGATTTGATACTAGTTGGACGAATTTTATGTCTGCTTTGGTAATAATTGCTTCTTTTGCACCAGTATCAGCAGTCTCATTACCTAAATGGCTCTCCTGTATGGATGAAGGTTGATGGGGGAAGGCAGAACTTCTGAATAATATTATTTGCAGTTGTTACATAATATTCGACTCCTGTCTCAGTTTTAGATGCATCTGTGTAAAAAATCTCGTCATATGAGTTTGTGTTGACCAGCTCTAGGAAAGATTGCCTCAGAATTTGGCTGTTGGTTTCATTTTTGTGATCATTATTAAGTGAAAGGTTAATTTTTGGAATGTTATTAATCCAAGGAGTTGATGATAGTATATGAGTATCTGTTATTGAAAAATCAACAGGTCCTGAAAGGGAAAGTGAAATTTGAGGCAGAGTTGGTATTTATTGGTAGGCTCACAATTACAGGGTTTGTAAAGTAGCTTATAATATATAGGGTAGTTTTGATTCGAAGACACTCTAGCAAAGCATATCTGAAGAAGTTGTTGACTGCGAAGCAAAATGGGGAGTTCACCTGTTTCACAGCGAAGACTTTTGGTGGGAGTGGATCTGAAAGCTCAAGACATATTTGTAATGCGGTATTCTGAATAATGTCCCTAAATGTAAGAGTCCTTAAATAAGTCTTGGATTCTGACATGTATACAAAGCATCCATAATCCAGTCTAGAGCGAATGAGAGATATGTATTACCTTAATTAGGATACTGATGGAGTTTTCTCCGATTTCCACCAATTGTTGTGGGGAAAGCTTATTAAATTCCTTTCCCCGTGCGTGTACAGTTCCAAATATTTTAGGACCATGGACTGTACAAGAGTGTTTCCTTCGATATATACAAGCAGAACTTCACGGCGCTGGTTCTTTATGTGTTTGATTTAATAGGGGTTGTACTTAGAGAAAAATAAGCGTAATTAATTGAATCTACACATTTAATAACAAGAGAATATTTACACAAGCACTAATACTAATGAAAGAGTTCGCTTTAAAACATTGTCCATTATTCTATCGGCGTTTAGGGGCGCGCGAGCTATCGCGAAAACAAATACACATTTCACTGCATTTTGGCGGCGAAGAGAGAGCTTAGGTACCGGCTACTAGTACCAAACAGCTTGAGACACTAGTCACATCTGCGAGAGATTTTGAATTGAATTTTTACCTAAAATTTCCGACAAGGCGGCGTCAGTTTTATCACTTTAAACAACCCTTATAAGCTATTTATGGCACAAATAGTTTGCAGGCAAAAAGTACAGTCTTTAACATAAATTCCAAACCAATATTTGTGAGAACTAAAAATTATACTAAAATTAATATAAAATGTTGTTTTTACAACATACTCGCCCCCGTTGAAGCGCTGGCTTTAACACAAATAAACAGATAATATTACGACAAGAGAGCATGGGGAAGAGAAAATACACTATAATTATAATCTTATACTAACTTAATTTAAATCGTCATTGGGTAGAGGACACAATTTGGTAATAGAGCGCTTGAAGACTCCATCTTTAGTTTTGACCGAGGCAATTCTTACTCTCCCATCCTTTCCTGGAAAGACCTCAATCACTCTTGCTAGTACCCAATAAAGAGGAGGAGTGTTGTCTTCAATCAACAAGACGAGATCGTTGGGTTCTAGGTTCTTATGAGGGAGAAACCATTTAGGGCGATTTTGAAGTCTGTTCAAATAGTCAATAGACCACTTTTTCCAAAACACTTGTTGAAGTTTGGACAAATGCTGCCATAAATTTAGTCTGTTTTCGGGAATGTGGATCACTTCTTTTTCAGGGAATGAGGTGAGAGATTGTCCAATCAAGAAGTGTCCAGGAGTAAGATAAGTAAAATCAGAGGGGTCACTTGAAAGGGAGCAAAGAGGCCGGGAATTGAGTACAGCTTCAATTTGAACGAGAACTGTGGTGAATTCTTCGAACGTAAGCTTAAGATTACCCAGGAGTCTACGCATATGATGCTTTGCGCTTTTAATAGCACTTTCCCAAATACCACCATGATGAGGGGCTCGAGGAACTATAGTTTTCCAGCGAATATGGGACGAGGCCAAAAATTCTTGAATAGAACGGGAGCTTTCCTTTTCCTTTAAAAACTTATAGAGTTCAAACAGCTGGTTACGAGCACCAAGAAAGTTCGTAGCGTTGTCACTGAATATTGTCTGAGGGAGGCCTCTACGACTAATAAAGCGTTTTAGAGCGAGAATAAACGTCTCTGTAGAGAGGCCAGAGACGACTTCAATATGAACAGCTCGAGTCGACAAGCAAACGAGAAGAGCAATATACGATTTTATTAAAGGAGCCTTGCGAAGTTTGGAAGCCTTTATCTGAAAGGGACCGCCAAAATCTAATCCAACATGAGTGAATGCTCGAGAGGAATTTAAACGTTCCTTTGGCAAATCTGCCATAATCTGGGTAGCGGGTTTGGCACGAAACTTGAAACAAACCATACATTGGTGAATGACCTTTTTGACTTCTCGTAGTCCATTTAAAGGCCAATATTTGAGACGAATTTGGGACAGAGTATTTTGAGGCCCTGAGTGACAAAGTCTGACATGTTCTCTGTGAAGAATGCGACGAACTATACGATTTTTTGAGGGAAGGAGAAGGGGGTATCTTTGATCAAAGGTAACGTCTGAGTTTCGAAGGCGACCTCCTACCCGGAGCATTTCATTCTCATCCAAAAAGGGGTTTAGGGGTAACAGACACTTATTAGTTAGAGTTTTACCTTTCTTAAGCTCACAAATCTCACTCGAGAAGTTGGAATACTGGAGCATTTTAATAATCTTAAGTTCAGCGTTTTGAAGTTCGGTGACTTCAAGGGTATCCGTTAACTTGCGAGAAAGCGGTTTAGCATTATTAACAAATCTAAACATATAGGCTAAAGTTCTTACAAACTTTGAAAAATTAGAGAACCTATCAGAAAGGGAGGTGAAAAAATCTATTGTATCATTTCGAGCATGAAGAATGACTTTCCTTTCTTCAGGCAACTTGGAGGTGTAACCCTTTGGGTTGTATTTTAATAAATCCAAACACAGTTGATTTAAAAATGGAGGACCATGAAACCACAAGGAAGAGTTTAATATCTCAGAGGGTAACATTCCTCGGGAGAGTATGTCGGCAGGATTCTCTTTGGATCGTACGTGCCTCCAGTGAGCATCAGGGGAATTATCTAAAATTTGTGCGACCCTATATGCTACAAATTGGGTCCAACGAGAAGGATGTGAACGAAGCCAAGCGAGAACAATTTCTGAATCCGACCACATATTTATAGAGTCTAATCGAGATAATTTTTCTTTAACGATGTTAGCAATCCTTGCTGTGAGTTTACTACACAATAGCGCACCCATGAGTTCCAATCTTGGAAGGGTCAAGGGTTTTAGCGGAGCAACGCGACTCTTAGATGCTAGAAGGGAACAAGACACCTGTTCTGATTTATAGGTCACACGTAAGTAGATACAAGCTCCATAAGCCTTTAAACTTGCATCTGAGAATGAGTGAACCTCAACACCAGTGATTTCTTGACTCAAAAAAAGACATCTTGGTATACTTAAATCCTTAAAATGAGAGAGACTGCTAATAAAACTTAGCCATTCATGTAAAGTATCTGCGTCAATGGTATCGTTCCAACTGATTTTGGATATCCAGATTTTTTGCATTATAAGTTTAGCGACAACTGTAACGGGATTAATAAGACCTTGAGGATCAAATATTTGGGCAATCATTGACAGTACTTCTCTTTTAGTATATGAGTTCTTTAGGGTGAAATCTGGAAGAGAGATTGAAAACGTGTCAAGAACAGGATTCCAGCATAAACCTAAAACCTTATTAGAGCAATTATCTGGAGCTATGACATAAGAAGAGTTCGAAGAGAGAGAAGAAATATTTTTTAGAAACAAGTCCGAGTTAGAACACCATTTATGTAGAGAAATACATGCTGTTCCAAGCAAACTAGTTATTTCCTTATGAGCTTTGAGAAGAGTTTGCTCATCATTAGCACCATAGAGAATGTCATCGATATAGCAACTATTTTTAAGAGCGTCACTGGCCAGGGGGTACTCAGTTTGATGAGTATTTGCCAGTTCCATTAAACAGCGAGTACTCTGAAAACTGGCGCTTTTAGTTCCATATGTAACTGTTTGCAGTTCCAGGCACTCAATATCTTTTTCCGGGGAGTCACGCCAAAGTATGTTTAATAGAAAGGTTTGATCAGGATTAATTTTAACCTGTCTGTACATCTTTTGTATATCCGTTGTGAAAACAAAGGAATATAATCGAAAGCGTAGCAAAATGTCAAAAA